ACATCACGTCTGTCACTCAGAGGCATAGCGAGCCTTCCCGGCGCCCGGGGACAAACTTTTCGATTTTAACCCCCCCCCCCCCCCAAGATTTCGATTTTCAAACCCCCCCCCCTCAAACTTTTGATGTGCACCCCCTCCCCCCCCCCCCCCCCCCCACTCAAACTTTCGATTTGAACCCCCCTCAACCTTTCAATTTATTTTTCCAAACCATTTGGCGCCCCAACATACGTCCCCCCGCCCCCCCCCCCTTCACCTCCCCCCGCCTCCCCTTTTCCCCCCCCGCCTCCCCTCCCCCCCCCCCGCCTCCCCTTCTCCCCCCCCCCCCGCCCGCCCCCCCCCCCTCCTCGCTACGCTACTGCAGTGTCACTTATCGTCACAAAAACAGAGCCCACATTCAAAAATATGTTTCTTATCTTTTAAAAACACCGAAAACACCGATTTCGGACTATCCCTTCATATACTGACGTCACATGTGACCTACTCAACTCTACTTCACCTGCCCAGTGTCCCGCCAAGTCTCAGACAACATGTTTTTATCGTTTAAAAAAACGATTCCAGCCGAGCATGTCTCTGACCACACTATCCTTTCATATGGTTAGGACAAAGAAACAGATGAACTCTACTTCACCTGCCCTGTATCCTGCCAAGTTCAGATAGGCAACTTTATCATTAACATCTAAAAAAAAAAAATTGAAAAAAAATATTATTGACATATTGGTCTAGAACCTGTACCACTCGCATGAGAGCGGACTACGCTACAAACTTAGCTATTTACTCGTGACGTCACAAATGAATTTTTATACTATACTTTGATGCAACTTGATTTCGAGCGTCTAGTCTAGAAGTAGTAACTTTCAAATTAAATTTTATCTTAAATTAGCCAAACAAAGATTTATATAAAATAATTAAGGCCTGAAATAGATTCTAGATGTATTAAGGCCTGAAATAGATTCTAGATGTAGAATTTACATTAAGTCTAGATTTAGAATTTACATTGAGTTTAGTGACCTAGATCTAGATCTAGGCTAGATTCATAAATTTCCTTCGACAGCTGATCTTTAGATCTAGAGAAATTTATTGTAAAACTAAATGAAAAAAGACAGTTGAAAATTGATATAAGTGTTGGAACGTAATAAATACAGCAAACGGACGTATTGTTAAAGTTATGACCGACAGAAAATTAGATTTAGAACGCGTTAAACTTTGGAATGGGAACACAATTTTCTTCGATAGACGCCGCCATTTTATTGTACTAAAGAGTCAACAAAAAACTCTGACGTCACTATCAAGGGACGTCACTATCCCCACAAAGTTTATTCAAAGTATTAACATTTTTTAAAAAATACGGTTAATTTAACAATGAATAAATCAATAAATTAATTAACGTCTTTAAATAAATTTGTGATTAACAGTCTGTCTGCATTAAAAAATTATTCTCTACCTACATACTATTTTACAGCTCTCCAGATAGAGCCGAACATATCAGGATACTTGATCAGGCAAACAAACAAACAAACAAAAAAAACAAAAAAATAAATATTCAAACATGTAAACAAACTTGACTTTTAGTAGTATATAGATAGATTACTAAAGAATGAAATTGTATAAAAAAGAAAATGTATCAAATCAATAATATTTTAAAAATTAATAATATAAATACAAAAAAAGACATAAAAATAAACATAACACGAGACACCATTACTTATACAAAGCTTTCATGTTTTATATTATTTTTGACCTACTGTTATACGTCATATATATATATATATATATATATATATTTATATATATATATATATATATATATATATATATATATATATATATATATATATATATATATATATATATATATATATATATATATATATATATAATATATATATATATATATATATATATATATATATATATATATATATATATATATATATATATATATATATATATATATATATATATATATATATATATATATAGGGGGCCTAAAAATTTTTTAGCGGGGTGGCCCTTTTTTTCTAGTTCCGCCACTGGCCTGTGTCCATCGTATTACGTGGAGCCTGAAGCGATTATCAGACAAGAACGGGTGCAATTTTGCCTTCATGGTTATCTTCGCGCGTGGTGCTTTGCCGAACGCAATAGAAAATGTATATAATTTATATAGAAAAAATATGCTTCAACCAGTGTCCGTCAATCGGAACTTTGAACTGCTCCCCGGAGATAAATGTCTGAAAGAAACATTAAGGGGATGGGAGAAGGGGGAATTTTGGTCGAAAATTTTAAAACCAAAGAAAAAGATAACAAATATTCATAATTATAACCATTTAATGATTAAACATATGAACTTATTCAATAATACTGTACCAATTTTATAAAAATAAACTAGTTATGAATATTAGTGACTAACTTTGGTTCGTTAAAAAATAAGTAATTTATGCCAAATATTTATGCAAGATTCTCGAGAGACAGTATAATTTTTACACGATCTAATTTCGTTGTAGCAGCTCGTCCCTGATAAGCATCCAATCGCGCAGCACAGAAAGGGTTAACATTAGCCTGCTTGTAGTCTAACAGCGCCACCACCCCTCTCCCTCCATGCTGCTGATTTTAACTCATTTTTTGGAAGCTAATCCAGAAAGAAAATCCGGCTGAACAAAGAGCCAACGAGTCATATAAGCTCATATGGGTTCATATGCAGTGTTTCTTCCAAACTTTTTTTCCTCGGGGGGGGGGGGGGGGCACTTGCAATTTTCTGGGGGGGGGGGGGGGGGCTAAAACTTTTTTCTTGGGGGGGGGGGGCGGTGGACACTGTTGAAAGTATATATTTTCTATATAATTTCCATTTCGTTGGGGGGGGGGGTACACTTTCTTCGCGGAGGGGGGGGGGGAAGAGATGCCTGGAAGAAACTCTGCTCATATGACGCATAACATGTCGAGAGGCTATACATAATTGTGTTCGATTGTATACCCTAGAATATTACAATTAAGAACGAAGAAGAAGAAGAAATAAATGCCTAGATATTATATGGAATGCAATGGGCAAATTTATAAAATAAATAGTATTATAAAGTCGACTAGGTGTAGAATACCCGCATTCCCTTCAGAAATATTCACAATACCAGATATACAACGTTCTTTATAATGCTCTGGCATGTACAAATACTAACAGCAATTCAAACCAACACAACAACTAGATTCTATATTATTACAGTGCTAGTAGAATTGTTAATTTTTAATTATTTTTTTTAAAGATTCCTATTCCTATTAATCAATTTTAATCATTGAAGCTTTTATTTACATAGCGTACATTTAGTTCATCTTTGTTCATTATATATATATATATATATATATATATATATATATATATATATATATATATATATATATATATATATATATATATATATATATATATATATATATATACATATATATATATATACATATATATATATATATATATATATATATATATATATATTCATAAATAGCGAGACTTAAAGCAATTTTTAAAAAAATAGATCATTATAATATGCAAAAGAACGTTATTACTATTTTTTTGAATTATTAAAACCACTTAGTTTGAAAATCTCGTCGTTAATTGGCTTTTTGTTTTCCTGCCATCCATCAGCATCCTTTATTATAATTTATATTATTCTCTATGCTTGGTCTAGACAGAACGTAATACTCGGTGCATACATTATTAATACACCACTACACAAACTCGCCAAATCTGGCACAAACGGGTTAGTAATTGGCCCTTCCATTTAAAAAAAACTGGGGCGGAGAGGGGCTTCTCGCCTTTCTGTACTGAACCGCTGACTGCAAATTTATCATGACATTCTCTCAAGGCTAAAGGACGAATCCGCACACAAAATTTTGCCGTATTCGATACCACGGATTGTTTCTAGCCACGATATTCCATTAATGATTCAGCGTAAAGTGCAAACGTTTTATTTTTCGACCCCCCTCTTTAAAAGAAATATTCTTTAAAGCTAGAGTACAAGAGGACACTCGCCCACGGACTATAAGTATGGTATACTAAATAGTCATATTATATATTTTTCAAACATGTATACTGAAGTATTTATTATAAAATAAATAAATAAAACTGAAACCACAAAAATATTTTTATGTAACATTTTCAAAAGTAGGACTATTTTAATTTAGTACTGCTCGCGACTGCTGACCTGAAAGTCACGAGTTCGGATCCCGGGCTCGAGTCTGTAGGATGTCCCTGACAGAGTTTCTTCCGCCCCCCCCCCCCTCCTCCCAAAGAACGTCTACCGCCCACCGAAAGAAATGGAATTTATGTAGAAAATATATACTTTTACCAGTATATCCGCCCCCCCTCCGTAAAATTTAATTTGCCCCCCCCCCCCCCGGAAATTCTAAGTCTCTCCCCCCCCCCCGGAAAAAAGTAAGTCTGCAATAATCACTAGCCCCTGAGTAGGCCTACATCCCGCTCTGATGCAGTGTTTCTTCCAGACTATTTTCTCCGGGGGGGGGGGGGCACTTGATATTTTCGGGGGGGGGGGGGCGGTCAACATCATCCGGGGGGGGGGGAACCGGGGCGGACACTGGTAAAAGTATGTTTTCTATATAAACTCCTCCCCCCCCCCCTGAAGAGATGCCTGGAAGAAACTCTGCTCTGATGGGTGCCTGACTCACGTCAGGGAAACCTAGGTGGCGGGGCATAGTGCTGACTACATGATCTCCATGTATGCCTTTGTCGATGAAACAGGTGAACTCTACTTTATCTGCTCCGTGTGTCTTGAACACGAACGGGAAAAGATGATGAGATGATTTAATACAGCTCATATTAAAATACGTTTTCCAAGTTGCCTATACAATTACTATTTTGGAGCGCTTTTCTCAACAACAAATACTGCAATTATAAAACGTGATCAATTCGGCTTCCGTACTTTTAAATCGCTGAGCCGCCTAGCATCACACACATACACACACACACATGAAAGGTAAAGGTCATGTGATGTTTTCAGTACTTTTGGTTCAGTGTCGCTAATTTTACGGTTACTGATAAAAATGTTTCTGTACGCTTGTTTAGTGTGGAAAATTTTCATTTTAGGCTCGGATTTATAACTAGAGGTAAGCCAGACGTGTTTCGATTATTTAGACGCCTCATAGAATTTAGATTTAGTAATGTAACATGCTGTTAAAAATAACCCGCAGACATGTGTCTTTTCAAACCGTGTGTCGTCTGCTAATTTCTAGAGTCTAGTAGTAGAGTCTAAATCTAGATCTCTAGATCTAGACCGGGATTCTAGATCCTCATTTTTAAAGTTCACGAGAACTTAAAATAGTTTTGAAACTCGGTTTTACTCCTATCCTAGACTATTTTTTAAAAATATTTTTTTTTAAAAACGTTAATTAGATCTAGATATCTAGATCTAGACTCTAGATCTAGATCTAGATTCTATTTCTAAATTATTTTATCGCGTTAGTTAGTTGGGTTGACCTTAGTCTAGACTAGTCTATGGCCTAGGGCTAGGGTCAAGTCTAGAATCATATAGATCTAGATCTAGAATCTAGATCTAGATCTAGACTAGATTTACTTTCATTTTTAAAAAAATAAAAATCTATTTGACATTATGTTTTTTAATAATAGCATAAAACTGGCCTATTAGATTGCATATAATAATAATTATAGTCCTAATTAATTAATATTAATTAGATCTAGTTTCTAGATCTAGATATGCCTCGGGATCTAGATTATTTTTATTATACCCCATTACAAGTGTATTGTATACAAGCCCATGACTTAAAATAAAGAAAATGTAGATCTATCTAGATTTCTAGATTTCTAGATTTATTTGTATCCGTAAATGATGGTAGAATCTAGATTATATCTATTATGCATATATCAAAAACGTTGAACTAAGTAATTAAATCTATATAATTTGTATTAGTATCGATATAAATAGATAAATTTAGTTGACTTATTGCTTTGTAGGATTAAAGTTTTAATTGTTGCGAGGTTTTAAGCATTTGAGAAAAGTGAAGGAGGGGAGGGGTGAAGTGTGGGATTCGTATAAATAATAATTCACTAATAGTAACGAATGAGTGTGTGAAGGGCGAAGGGGTAAGTAAGTCATGCATAGAAACCATCTCAACAAAATCTAACTTCAGTGACTGTATCAACAGAGTTGTCTAACTGAAATAAAATGTAAACACACTCAGCGCTAAACAGATGTGTTTACTGTTTATATCTTTTTCGAGTAGCCTTAAAGTGGAGTATGCATAACTTGAATACGCCTATAGTAGTCCTAGAAACTCTAGTATCCAGAGAGGAGTAGGCCTATAATACAGTTCCCCAGGAACAACAGGAACATGTAATTTACCAATTAAAGTGTTAGGCACATTTACTTCAGACATGAGGGTGCCCTTGTGTTGTAGTGTATGTTGTACTTAGACCTGTTTGATTAGCGCTTTTGTTGTGGATTAGTTTCAGTACTAGCGTTAAGGTTAGACCATAGAACGACAATGAAGGCACATTTACAAGTGTTTAGAAGGAGCCTGTTAAACATATATATATATATATATATATATATATATATATATATATATATATATATATATATATATATATATATATATATAATGTTCAGCAAAACCCCGCTTAGCGCAATGTTTAGCTACGCTGCTGACTGCCCACTTGACATCCAGTCCGTCTATAAAACCAGGGTTGTGTTAAGCCAATCACTTTCGGTTTTGATATGTATAATTTTGAACTTGTACTTTTACAACAGCCGTACGCTAGTGACTTTTAGACAAGAGTCCAGGGGCGATTTGAATACAAACATATCATACTTTATCATGTAAGCATGACCTTAACACAACAGCATAAATTAACAATTTTTATCACGATACGCCCGAGTACGCACTTTAAATATGTAAAAATATGTGTCGGCATGGAGGGCAGGGAGAGTTTAGGTGATACTCTTTCAACTTTTTCATCATTGCCATCACGCATACACGAATAGGTCCTACATATTCCGCTCTTTAGAGGCATGGACTTAGTCAGAGATGTAGGGGTGGGAGAAGGTGAGTAAAAGCGCTTATACCCTTAAAGTTTTAAAGATATACACACACACACACACACATATATATATATATATATATATATATATATATATATATATATATATATATATATATATATATATATAAAATTTCAACTGAAAGCAAGAATAACAACAAACAATAAACCGGTGTTGTTGTTTTTTTCTTGCTAGACTAAAAAAAAAGAAGATAAAAAAATCTCGTGTTATTTTTTTAAATTCAGTAAACTTCTATCAGTTATATTTTTTGTAATGGTTATATTTTTTTTATGATTGATAAAACAAAGGCGACAGCCAGGCTTGTAGACTACTGATCCAGTTCACAAGTACTCTAGTCTAAACCTTGGTCCTTAAAGATCTCTGTTTGTTTAGTTACGGCCGCCGTTGGATAAGGAGTCCAAACATGTCGTTCCCGTTTTAAATGTTTTAATAATTTTTGCAGTTTTCCTCCGTAGGGATTTTAGCATTGTTAAATCGAAAGGAAATCAATCTCGATTTATTTAAGTCGAAAATTGTAAAAAACTAAAATTTGAATAATTAAAAAAAAAAAACAAACATGAAATTAAAAGTACGAGGAACGTTATAATAATTCAGTCATGTCGTTTCCGATTTAAATGTTTTAATTTTAATAATTTATGCAGTTTTTTTTTTCTGAAGGGATTTTACCATTATTAAATTGAAAGTTAAACCAAGCTCGATTTTTATAAAGAAAAAAACGAGCGAATTATTTAAAAAAATAAATGAAATCTATTCGGAAAGCTGTAACGACTCAGTTAACAGACGTAGTTGTAGAAAAAGCTTTGCCCATATATCAATTATTAACTTTAGTTAACTTTGTATAGCGTTTTTTGCTTATATAATGTTTTGCTAAAAAAAAAGTATCATAATGTTACTATTGTTACTATCGTATTAGAATAAAATTTTGATGACCGTACGAGAGTGAAGGTGAGTGTGTTGGGTGGGGGGTAGAGTGGTACAGTGTGCATGTACAGTCTGTGTAAGGACATTTCCAGTTACCCTAACACTGCGGTTACACTTGCGACATATCTGGAGAAAAAAAAACCGCAATGAGTCGATGCTATATGCAAACATTTTTCCCACGGAACATGTATATCCTGCTAACTAGCTGCCAGTTTTTTTTTCTCTAGAAATGTATACATGTCGCACATGCATAATATACATATCGCAAGGGTAAACGTTGCATACGTCTGAGTAAACTATAGTTATGAATATGATTTGGTAAATAGTTGTAAGGTTGTGGCTATAACGATATCTAGGATTAAGACTAGGTTTATGTTAATATTTGTTATCAACGATGTTTCCGTGTAGCCCCATGTGTTAACCTGCCTTAGGTTGTACACGAAAGTACAAAGGATCTTTTTTTTGTATTTTGTAAGTGTACGTATTTTGAGCAGTTGGAATGTATGTGGTTGTAGAAGTTTGCGTTGTTGTTTGAATGAACATTCATGGAATCTTTTTCATGCTTTTGGATTTGGTGTAACATATACATACACAAATAATTATACATGTATATTACTATATAGTTAGGCATAGACATAGACTTAGAAATAGACATAGACATAGACATAGGCATAGACATACACATACACATACACATACACATACACATACACATACACATACACATACACATACACATACACATACACATACACATACACATACACATACACATACACATACACATACACATACACATACACATACACATAGACATACACATACACATAGACATACACATACACATAGACATAGACACAGGCGTATGGAAACAACTTTTTATGTTAAGAATGTGTAAAGCAGCCATATTCTCATTTCAGTCTTCTTCCTCTACGACCATCACTCATCAATAAAACTTGTGTGACACCCAACCCTGATATAAATAGATCGCCATAAATCTATTTTTAAACTCAGCCGAAAAAGCTGTACGAATCAATCAGCTTTTTCATTCTATTTGTGTCGTGTCGGTAGTTTTTAACCTTTACGCTAACCAGACCATAAATAAGTTGGATGAAAGGAAGGTCCAGCATAAAAAAAGCGAGGGTAAGAAGCGAGTGGGAATGTGCTTAAACTTGCAACGTGTGAAGTCTGTGATGTGTAACGTGTAAGCTGTTACCGCGTTACATATAGATTTCTAGCAAGGTTATCGCACTATACGGAGGCTTCCGTCCATGCTGTACAGAGGTTGTTATGCTATTCAGAGGCTTCTACGTTGTATCAAGGTTATAAAGCTATTGGGCGAACGGCACCGAGTTCCTAAACTAGTTAGTGGAGGCAGTCACGCTTTTCTCAAGGTTAGCATGCTATTAGGAAATTATATAAAAATCGTCGCATAAAATGGAGGATCCTCAAACTAAACCAACAGATACCGACATTATAAGGTCCCCATTTAAATGCAGACACTGACTATATTTCAAGGTTCTCATATTGTACTCATAAAAGTTCTACTATGTTTATATAAGTTCAGTAATCATCAGTGTATATCTATATTTGAACCTTTAATCAATCCACACCCATTTAAATTTTATAGTTATGACTTACATTTGTAAAGATTGATTTTTTATTTTATTTTGAGGCCTGGAAAGCCCTAAACAGTTGAAAAAGTTAAACTTGCCTTAATGCGTTACACCATACTTTGCAATATAAATTGAAAACAACATGTAATTGATGCAAAGGAAGGACAGTAAAGAAAATAAAGCTACCTTGAGAGCCTAGTTGATATTATGCACAGCTGTTTTTTTTTTTCCGATTTTTTTAGTCAAGCCCAGGAGGGAGGGCCGCGATTTAAATCTTCCTATTGTGTTAGTGTTACTCTTAAATTATGTACCGGGTGGAGGAGACACTGTTTCTAGTCGGCCTAAATATTTTCTTTATAAATTATATATTTTTTCTGTTTCGTCCTAGGGGAGGGGGCCGGTGGACATTGTCGTCCCCCCCCCCCCCCCCCCCCGTTACTTGCCTACGGAGAGATTTTAAAAGAACGAAGTGGACTATAGTAATAAAGAT